ATAGTAAAGCAGTCATAAAGAGATATAAAATGATACAAAAACAAAAAGTTTTGACCATTTACTAAGATAGTAAAACTACTTTCAATGGATTTTTAGCTCATATCTGTACTTAGAGTCGAAATTTTTAAAAGCAAACATAATTGTAGTTTGTTTGGAAATTTATATTTATTTGATTTATTTAAAACTTTAGTTCCTTATTATTAATTTAGCTAACATATGAAAAATTCTTCTAGTCTTTGATTGTGTAAAAATTATAACTAAATTCGTAGTTCTATTATAATAATGAGAGGCAGAAAAGAAGATATTTTCAGACGCCACCATTTCGCCAAAAATAAAGTCCCTGCTAGATTTCAAACACAATTGACCGTTTTTATTTAAAGTTGTACAATTGTGATTAGGAAAGGAAAATATGGTCTTTTAAACCTCTTTCACCTAAATATATAAGACATATAAGCAAATATACATTGAATATTTCATGTAATGATTGATTGATTGATTGTATATTGTTTAACGTCCCTCTCGAGAATTTTTCACTCATATGGAGACGCCACCATTTGCCGGTGGAGAGCTGCAATTTTTTTCCTATACTCCGCACTCAGGGCCATTGAGCAGGGAGGGATCTTTTTCGTGCCAGCACCTACTGCGACACGGGGGCCTCGGTCTATTATACGGTCTCATCCGAAGGACCGGTCTCCACGTCCCGCAGTGGGATTCGAACCCGCGACGTTAGGATTGACTCCTTACTTTGTATTTTCTCTAATGAGAGACCAGAGAAGAATCCTACCTTAATGGAGACTAGATACTTTCAATATTTCTCTAGAGGCTCACTTTTCGAGACTAATAAAATATCTTATTAAAGTCTTTTCGCATAAAGTCGGAAGTCGCCCTAGTTCCGCAGTGGTAAAGCGTCTGCTCTAGATTCGCGGAATAAGGAAATGATACTTAATTGTTCGTTCAGGGTTCAAATCTCATTGAGGGATGTCGGACGTGAAAACTGGTTCTTCGGATAAGACCAACCGTTCCGAGGTAGATCCTGTTACGAAAAAGACAACTCACTGTTCAAATAATTTTAAGTAATTTAATTATTTAAGTATCATCATTTACACATGCAAGTCATTGTATACTATTTTCTTATCCTTTATATTACATAAAATCATTTCAATAATTTCCAATTGTACCAGTCGCCCGCGTGTCGCAGTGGTGAGAGCGTCTGCTCTAAAGTCGCGAAGTAAGGAGTCAATCCTTACGTCGCGGGTTAGAATCCCACTGCGGGACGTGGAGACCGGTCCTTCGGATGAGGCCGTATAAACCGAGGCCCCGTGTCGCAGTAGGTGCTGGAACGAAAAAGATCCCTCACTGCTCAAAGGCCCTGAGTGCCGAGCATAGGACAAAATTTGTAGGCCTTCACCAGCAAGTGGTGGCGTCTCCATATGAGTGAAAAATTCTCGAGAGGGACGTTAAACAACATACAATCAATCAATCAATCCAATTGTACTGTACTCCACCATGCAATTATTCACAAAAGAGCAAGGAAGATTTAACAGTAAACCATTTAAAGCGTCTTTAAGTTTTTTGTGACAGTGTTATATTTCCATTTCCAATTGTTTTCTCTATGAAAAACACTACAAAAGTCAATCTTGTTAATTTCCTGGTAGTACCTGTGGCATGTTTATTTCTCTACTACTGAAAGGTCAAATGTCAACATGCATATATACGTATGTTATATGACTGTCGTATAAATACATTGAAGTGATGCCTAAAATAATTGTTTACTAAGTAATTAGATATTAAATATCTTGTTACAAACAAAAAAGTGAATTATGTTCGGATCAAAAGCACGTCACTAGCGCAACGCTGTCCATCATTAGTCTGGTCCCCTTCCCACAATTCCGTTCGCGCACTCTCTACATTGAGGTCAGGCATCGGTTGATTCACTGTTAGACGTTGCGCAATTTCAAAATGGAGGACAAAGTAAGTCACCCTCTAGAGAAATAATTGCTCATTTATATTTGTTTTACATCAAGACAACTCATTTCATCAATGCTTACTGTTAACCAAAGTTGTTTTCTATTTATTTTTTTATTCATTTGATGTATTTTGCGTAAATTTACACTGTTATCACTGGATTAAAAAATGTTTACATTTTAAGAACGTGGAGGTAGTCAAAATTGACCCCCAATATTTCCTTTGTCGTGGACCGACATCAAAATTTTATTGTCTAGTCTAATGAATATATGAATGATCTATGTTAGGATATACAATGTTTTATATGTCGCTCCTTATTTAATATAGTAAAAGCACCCCAGATTTTTTTATCATAATTCTATCAACAATTAGCATGTGCTCTGGCCTACTATTGCATATATTTGACATAAAACAAAGGTTTAATGTTTCTATACTGTTTGTATTTTGCTGTCCATGCAATCATCATATAAGTTGAAAAGGGGAAGGGATTAAACCCCCAGTGTATTTATTTTGTTTTATTATGATTCCCCTAGCTGGTCCCTTAATTTCCTTCCACTTTACCCAGCATAATATTTACATGATAGGATGAGTCTAACATGTAATTTTCATGAAGGCTTGTGGAAGTGAATCCCACCACTATACAGATGGTTAGCAGTTAGAGGTGGTGCTACTTTGGTAGGTCACCACAATTTATTAATATCCTTGCATACATAATAATTTTTCATACAACTGTAATGCCAACTTGCCAAGGCAATACATTTTGAAAAATGTACCAATCCTTTTTATGTTGTAACAGGTTCATTATAGCTTTCAGATAATCATAAATATCTCTATTTTGTATGTTGGTTTTTTTTTTAGGCTTTTCCATCGTTCATTGCATAAATTTCATAAAATTTACCAGGATACCGAAAACAAATCCTCTGTATTAAAGACATGATGGTCAGCCAAAAGACAGCATGGAAGCCCAACAGGAACAACCCCTCTACAGCCCATTTATAAGGTGATACAGTTTAAACTTGCAGAGTAATTTGTTTAAATTAATCTTGCACACCTTAAAATGTTTGTCCTTTTCTCCAAGTCATTCCATGGTTGCAATCTTATTATACCCCCCGCTTGAAAAGTGGGAGGGTATATAGTAATCGGTATTTCCGTCCGTCCGTCTGTCCGTCCATCTGTACGTCCGTCCATCCGTCTGTCCGTCCGTCTGTTACGCTTTGGGGTATCCATCTCTTATCCGCAACTCCTCTCATACCACTGAAGGAAATTTAATGAAACTTTCACAGATTCTTAATTACATATTGCCATTGTGCACCTCCTATTTTATTTTTTGATCTGACATGTATTTTTGATTTTCCAGAGCAAAACATGGACACTGCCATTATATTCATATGGGAGGCGGGGGGTATCATTTAGTGAGCTCATTGCTCACAGTACCTCTAGTTTTAAGTACAATTCAATGAACAGACAACAATGATAAAACCATGAAACAGATTTATCAGTTCAAATGATATGAGCTATGAGGAGAGTAAGTCAAATTAATTATAAATTATTTTACAAATTTACAAAAGGAATAATATGCAAATTAATATGGTGTATATCAGGACTCAAAAAGCAAGTCAAAGTTCATACAGTTAAACTTGTTAAATACAAATATGCCATGATGGATATTGTGAATTCACAGAATAGAGAAGTTATCTTGTATTCTCAGCAATATAAATTAAGCAAATTCCTTATATATAATGAATAAAATGGATGTAAGGAATTTAAAAGGATATAGGATGTAATTTCTGGAAAACCGAGTTTTACTGTATTAGGTAATGCTCTTCGCTTTATGTTCAGTTCACTATATTCTGTTTATAGGTCTGAAGTGTACCAGTGTACCAGTTTCTCTTTGACCTGTGCCAACTCTGGTAACCCTGCCTTTGTCAAGGACACATGTACTTGTCGCTATCCCGAGGGTCTGGATCTCTCTATCGGATGTCCGACTCATTTTGATGGGGGGTATTTAACTTAGTACATATACAATGCTCTGTTTTCCTTTGGCTTTCAATAAGGTGTGGTGTTCTAGATGTTACATATTAAGCATCTGAAATTTACAAAGCTTTCATTCACTGTTGAAATATATATGGGAAAAAATTTGGGAGAATGTCAACGAGTGTAACAAATATTCAATAACAGCATCTCGCATGGCAAAGAGGTACGACTTAGGTCATTTCATCGTCGTCAACAAAAATTTTAAGTTCTGATGTTATTAATTTCTTAACAAATGAGAATCTATTTGCGATTTGGGATACTTTAACTACGTACATGTAGTGTCGAGAATGCCACACTTTTCTGAAAGTCCAGTAATGATAGAAAATTGTACAAAAAATTAAAAAATGTTCTTTTATTTTCAAAAATTCCTTCATTATTTTACATCAAATTGAATCTGCATACTCGGCATAAAAGTTTGGAGTGCCAAAAGACTAGCTCCATCATGACTTTTTTGTGTTATTTCTCCAAGACACGGTCAACTCAGGTCAAGGTCAAATAAGTCCTTACTTCAACCTAGCCAAACGGAGGCAAATGTAACAAATACATGTATATCTTATATAGATTAAAGAATAAGATGAATTAATTTCAGAAAAGCTTTTGGTACCTAATATTTATTTCTTCAGATCGAATGATTTCAACAAAATGGCCGTCTGACACCTTTACCAGATTAAGTACCTGGATACATGTAACTGGCTGTCCCAGAGGGTTTTATGAAGGCAGTTTTACACATCATATTAAAGACACCAGGATGGACCACACAAGTTCCACATTTAATGCTTACATCATTTCAAAGCCCACCTCTACATTTTACAAATTTTGTGCTTAGAAGAAAACGGAAGAAAATAGAATTTCGCCAAGCTGGCCTGCAGGAAAATATTGTATCTACCGCCAAGGAGGGGTTTGTCCCATTGGTAAATAATGCAGAAATAGATTTACCGCTATTTCTAATTTAATTTAATTTTCAAGCAAATGTAAACGAACAATCAAATTAAATCAAAAGCTGTGGATTCAATTTTTTTATTCACAAAATACTTAAACTTTGCTGTCACTGTACCAGAAATATGATCACTATAATTACTTTCGAACATTTATATCTTAGGCTTCAGTGGTGGATATATACAGTATGATGACACCATGAATCCATAGCATTCAGATATTCTCGGCATTCTTCCTGAAGGTGACTTCACGGCTGACAGAGGTTCTATTTCTGTTGTTGCAGTGACTGATCTACATCATCTGGTTATCCTACCCTTAAAGGAGCCGTTTATCTTATTTCCAGACACCTCTGCTTGACAGCAAGTCACAGGTTCTAATTTTCGCAAGGGTTTTAATTTCATAAAATAATTAAAAAGGAAAAAAAATGGGGTAAATAAGGCCATGCAAAATTAATTCCTTGGTTCTCAGGCCTTTTTTCAAGAAATATGATGAGGGAGGGAGGCATTTTTTTTTACTTTTTATTGCCCCCAAAAAATGATGAGGCAGCTTTTTACATTGTACAAAACCTCAAAAAATGATGAGGGAGGTGATTTGTTGTTTTTATTTTATTGATTTAGCAATAAAAAGGGTCAATGAGGCACCCTTGGAAGAGATGAGGGAGGGCCTGAGAACCAAGAAATTAATTTTTTTTTTGGCCTAATGACACGTTTTTTTTTTTAATATTAGCCTTTTTATCAAGTCTGTTGTTTTAGTTTATAAAAATTGTCTTTGTATTTTAAGGAATGCAAAGTTTTGATGGCAATGCAGAGTCAAGATATTGTGACAAAGACATGCCAGCTTGAAGAAGACCATCCAGTGTTCATGGTGTTCCACTCCATTTTTCAGAATTATGTGTCAGATTGAAATTCATCTTATGGTGCACAAAACAATCAGGATATTCTTCTGGATCTAGTAAGTGTTTGTAAATAGGAATGAAAAAGATTTTACTCTTCCCTTGTATACTTCAGATTGGAACCTGAAAATGAGAAATGACCATGTAAATGCATTTTTTTAAATAGGTAAACAGTTCGTGTTACTTGTACTTATATGATAAGCATGATCTGAATTTTTATTATACCTTGAAATTTTACTTTACATACTGACAGACTTTCTTAAAGTATTTTCATACACTGAAATCTGTATGTCGGATTAAAATATGTTGAATCAATATTTTTTTTCAGATCCAAAGTATTGGCAGAACCAAAGAATACCTGATAGTCTGCAAATGGAGTGATCATTCTGATTGGATGAACCAGGCAACACTGATTATCTCAAGAAATTTTAGGCTAGAGACTCCATCTTCATTCATAAATGATTGATGTTGACATTTTCTCATGGGCTTTTGTTTCATATCTTCTTTTTCATAACATGGACACCATGCAGCATCAGTTATCCTGTAGTGTCAAAGTGTTTTATGTTCAAAGTAATTGATTCTGAGACTTATTTGAAATCTGTTATTAAACAAGCTGTAATAAAATCATGATAGCAATAAGCACAGTATTATTTTACTTTGCATATCAGAAGTCTTAATTCATGGAAAAATAATGAGGATTTACTTTGTCTATTTTAGACGGGTAGAGCTCTATTTTTCTATTAGCTGCAGAACTGTAGCTCTCTGAAAAAAATATTGGGGGCAAACCTGAGAGCTACAGTGCCACCCATTGAAAAAAAAACTGTATATATATTGCTCACAAGAAATGTTTCCTGATTTATTTCTCCATGTTTTTTAACCGTCATCTCAAAATATTACTAACCATGTGTTCCTAACATATTTTTTCACTGTTTTCACAACAAAACATTCCTTATAATTGATGTTAGTAGCCCTCCTGGACCTGAAATTGAGATCATCAAAAATTTCGTCTATTTATACTACCACTTTGGTTTGCAAAATATTTCGGTCTTGCAATGCTTCATGCAGTTGTAAACTACGAGTGTACTTGATACTAAGAGAAGTAGGGAAGAATTAATACAGAAGCAAGCACAAATTTTGTGCACAATAAATATACAGTTCTTTCAGTGGGTGGCACTGTAGCTCTCAGGTCTGTCAAAATATTTTTTAGAGAGCTACAGTTCTGCAGCTATTCATAATTCTTCTATGGAATCATCATTGTTTGAGGAAGGAGGACTAACATTTTTGGATTGAACATCAAGTGAATCAGCTACATTTTTATTTCCACAAATGCTTATTTGGATATTTTATAAGTCCACAGATTCATTTAATTATTATTTGGTTAACCTTTATAAATTATGTCCTGTCCACAAAACAAAATTATATATTTATGTCTGTCCACAAAAACTGACTCCACAGTCACATCAAAATAATTCCACAGCATTATACAATTTAAAAAAAAAAGATATAAAAATATCTAAGACAAATATAAATGTATGTGTATTAGGGAATCGTCAATAATTAGTAAAATATTTGGAAAAAATTTTCTTGACTAAAAATCTAACTCAAGATTATAACATGAAAAAATTCGTTAGGTGTAACACCTTCAGAAGACAGTTTCTGACTGGATACTTTGGATAACAGTTTGAGACTGTGAGTGAGAATTGTTGTGATGTGTGTAACAAGCAAAATACAAACAGTATAGAAACATTAAACCTTTGTTTTATGTCAAATATATATAGCAATGCTAATTGTTGATAGAATTATGATAAAAAATCCTTTTAGAGCACATATAAAACATTGTATATCTAACATTGTTGATAGAATTATGATAAAAAATCTGGGGTGCTTTTACTATATTAAATAAGGAGCGACATATAAAACATTGTATATCCTAACATAGATCATTCATATATACATTAGACTAGACAATAAAATTTTGATGTCGGTCCACGACAAAGGAAATATTGGGGGTCAATTTTGACTACCTCCACGTTCTTAAAATGTAAACATTTTTTAATCCAGTGATAACAGTGTAAATTTACGCAAAATAAATCAAATGAATAAAAAAATAAATAGAAAACATCTTTGGTTAACAGTAAGCATTGATGAAATAAGTTGTCATGATGTAAAACAAATAGATATGAGCAATTATTTCTCGAGATGGTTACTTACTTTGTCCTCCTTTTTGAAATTGCACAACGTCTAACAGTGAATCAACCGATGCCTGACCTCAATGTAGAGAGTGCGCGAACGGAATTGTGGGAAGGGGACCAGACTATGTCCATCATCACCGAGGCCTCGCGAGACCGAGAACTCCACTTCCGTAAACATGGTAAACAGCCCCTCTGAACCACGTGGAGAAATCGGCATCGCCACATAGATCTGTACTCCATCATCTGATATAGACATCGTCCCTCAGCTGTAACCATCCAACTTCGTAACCAACTCCACTTTCTCTAACACTTTAACATTTACACAAATATGTTTCGTGACCTTGCTGACCAACTCCCGTTTCAACAACTGCAACATTACATTCGGTATGGCGGCGGAGAAGTGACTTAGGGCCTATACATTTGTTCGTGCTTCCGACAAACTAAATCTAAGTCAAATATATAATTAGTTAACAAGATTACTTTGATCACAATTTAAAATTATTTTGTTGTTGTTTATTTTATAGATGTTGATAGTTGACTACAGTAACTAAATAAACATTAGATTTGTTTCGTGTTTTTATGGGACTATTTTTTTATAGTAAAATTTGACGTCATGGGGCGGGCCAATAAAAAATAACATGAAGTGCCTCGTGCGTTTTAAATCTTTTAATTTAGACGGTATTTCGATTTATTTTAAGATTGTTATTTTAAGTATAAATGGAAATATAAGGAATCGCAGGTAATACAAATTATCCGATGTTTCCCGCTTCATGTGTTTTATTTAAACCTGAAACATTGCATCTCAAGGGTATACAATATTCATACATACATACATAAGATTTGCACAAGCTAAAAAATATACGTGTGTTAAGGGGACGACCATTTGATTCTGAGGGGGGGGGGCTGGCAAATTTTTTTGAGACGGATTATTTATTTTCATGCCTGTCGAGGACAGATTATTTACTTTCAAGATTTACAAAGACAGATTATTTATTTTCTTTTATGTCTTACCGTACCTTGAGCAGTTGATTCTAAAAGACTAATCATTTATATACCATATTCGGCTACAGGATTTGGGGAGGGGACAGGTATAACTTTGTTCAGGCAAGAGGTCTGGGGCCGCCGTTAGGGCCCCTGTGGGTCCTTGGCGAAGCCCTTGAGGAGGCCAAGGGAGTACCCCCCCCCCCCCGAAGCTCTTGGGGTTTCGTTTATTTTAAGAGTAAAACCAAGCACTATTATAGTGGTTTTGGTTATTATGAACCAAAGTATGACATAATTAATACTGGTCATACCATACTTTGAATGAAGTAAGTGCAGGGAGCAAAGCCACCTGAAGCTCTTTGGTTTTTCTATATGTATAAGAGTATAACTTTTGTGGGAATTGGTTAGATGTGTACCAAAGTATGACATAATTAAGTCATATCATACTTTGAATGAAAGGGCCCAGGGGTCGAAGCCCCCTGAAGCTCTTGGGTTTTTGTGTATTTTAAAGAGTAAAACTAGGCACAAATATATTGGTATTGTCCCAAAGTATGGCATTATTATTATTATTATTCATATCATACTTTGAAATGTTAAGGGAGGGCCCGGGGTCGTACACATGTACGTCCCCCTTAAATCCGCCAGAGTAAATTTTGTATTTTATCAGGAAAGTATAATAATTTGGCAAGAAAATTTATCTTTTGTGGTGTATAAGAATTGGTTTGTATTTAAAGTTATTCATCACACCTACTAAGTGCACATTGTCATGTTGATAAACTGACTTAAGTATCAAGTCTGGTAATCTGACTTAAAATACTATTTGGTTCTAAATTGGCGAGCGAAGCGAGCCAAAAAATTTTTTGAATTGAAGACTTTTGAGATTAAATAACACGTAAATAAAAAAGGTATTTTTACAATATTTAATTATCAGAAGTCAAGGTCAGATTATTTATTTTCTCTGTAGTGGAGGACAGATTATTTATTTTCAACATTTTCAGGGACAGATTATTTATTTCCAAAATCTGCCAGGCCCCCCCACCCCCCCCCCCTCCTCAGAATCAAATGGTCGTCCCCTAAAAATATTTTTTTTCATTAAAATTACGACGTAGATATATAACTGAATGTTGAAAAGATGGTCTCGTTAAGTATTTTCTTTATGTCAATGACAGTCGCCCGCGTGGTGCAGTGGTTAGAGAGACTGCTCTAGAGTCGCGAAGTACGGAGTTGTTCCTTACGTCGCGGGTTTGAATCCCACTGTGGGACGTTGAGACTGGTCCTTCGGATGAGACTATATAAACCGAGGTCCCGTGTTGCAGTAGGTGCTGGCACGAAAAAGATCCCTCCCTGCTCAATGACCGTGAGTGCCGAGTATAGGACAAAATTTGCAGCTCTCCACCGGCAGGTGGTGGCGTCTCCATATGAGTGAAAATTTCTCGAGAGGGACGTTAAACAATATACAATCAATCAATATGTCAATGATTGATTGATTGATTGTATACTGTTTAACGTCCCTCTCCAGAATATTTCACTGATATGGAGACATCACCATTGCCGGTGAAGGGCTGCAAATTTAGGCCTATGCTCGGCACTTACGGCCTTTGAGCAGGGAGGGATCTTTATCGTGCCACACCTGCTGTGACACGGGGCCTCGGTTTATACGGTCTCATCCGAAGGACCGCCCCATTTAGTCGTCTTTTACGACAAGCAAGGGGGTACTGAGGACCTATTCTAACCCGGATCAATGACAGGTAGTTATTTGAAGAAATTCTTCTGCATAGGAATATAAAACACGTTGGATTATAAGGGAACATATTTTATGTCAAGTCCAAGATAATCCTAATGCAAAATTTTATAAGGCAAAATGTTGTAATTCAAAAACCCTCCGGCTGTTATTCCATTTTGCGTCAAATGACTTAGGCACTATTGTTCTGGATGAGGGATAAACATATGCCCCAATACGTTAATACTCTTGAAAATCACTTCAAAGTTGAGATCCTACACAAAAAACAAAACAAATCTGCTCCGAGGATCAACTTCCACTCAAGCATACATCAACATGGTGTCACATGTCTTATGTAATATTTAAATGCATCCGATTTCCATCTACCCAGGAATCTAATCTGACTATCGCTCATCCCTCGTGATGCACAGTAAGAGGCCATTCCGATTCGAAAGGAATGTCCTTTGAATCTATTGACATCCAAATTACAAAACATGAGGCTTTGCTTTAATATGTTTGAAAATTCTTGTCTTGTGACTGCAGTGTTTTGGGGGTAGCAAAAAAGGGGCCCATCGGTCCTCCCTCTCATCTTAATGTAGTGTTCTAATGCCCCCACTGGACAATATTTTAAAGAGTTGCAAGAATGAATTGTAAGAGTAAAAACTTAAACATCAGAATGTTTATAATTTTGAAAGTGAATCAAAACTTTACTTTTTTGAAAAGTAATCTGTGAAATTTGTAAAACCTTATTAGCAGTGCCAACTGATGTTATCTCTCCTATTCTGAGGAAGCCGTGAAAAGCCAATAAAAACACTGTTTCAAATAATGCCCTTTTATATATGTTCGATATTGTATGTTCTAAAACATCACAAATTTTATGCAGAACTACTATGGTTATTGGTAAACGAATATCCATTGAAGGTCTTGATTTACGACAGGAACTTAATAGTTTCTGAATGAGAAAGCATGATGTATTGTCAGGCAAATTATTAATTTTATGTATATATGCTATTGATGAAATAAATGACACGATAGAGGAGGCTGCATAACCTTCAGCAAATAAATAAGAGATAAACAAAGCCAAAGTTTCCTGAGACAACGGAAGATCATTACTCATATCAAATTTGTTTGCAAAATTTCTATAAATAGACCATGCCCGTTTATATGCTTGAGT